AAAAACAAAATACATATTGTTTCATTCCAAAAAACAAAAAAAATAATATACCAACTATCCTTACCTCACTAAAAATAAATAAGGTAAAAATTGAAAGAACAGAAACAGGTAAACTTCTTGGGATGTTTATTGACAAAAATATATCTTGGAGAGCCCATTAAATAATGACACCAAAAAGAAAATATTGGGATACTCTACAAAGTTAAACCTACGTCCCTACATAATCTTAAATCGCTTTATTTTTCTTGCATCCAAAGTTATCTCACGTACGCTAATATTACATGGTCAAGTACACACAAATTCAAACTGAGTACTGTTTATATATAAGTCAAAAATATGTTAGTTTATAATAAAGTTAAACTTTAGTTTATAATAAAGATAAACTCACCCATGCTAAACCCTTACTAAAAACCTTGAATGCACTAAATGTTTACCAAATGAACATCTACCAAAATGTACTATTTATGCTTAAATACTAACTTGGACTAGTACCATCTCGTTTTTTAGATAACTTTTTTCAAGTAAAATCTAATAGATATATAACAAGAGCAACAGGCAACTGTTCACACTGCCTAAAAGAACAACAAAGTTCTCACGGTTTTCTATTTCCTACCGGTGTCCGTCCCTATCTAACAAAATAATATCCAAAAGTATAGAACTTAAAGTATTAAACAATCCTGCCACCTTGAAAAGTAAATTAAAACACCTCATACTTAATATCAACAATTATATCGTCATGTATTAAACTTAACATTAAAAATTATATTAAAAATTATACTAAAATATTTATGTGTATCGTTGACTGTATATTGTTTAATTACTTTTAAATATATATAAATGAAATAGACTTTATTTAACCATTTAAAGAGGTACTCGATGATAAGCCTTCATAGACCTCTAAGAGTTTTCTTTTACAACGGCATGTATATATCTGAAGTACCAAAAAATTTCTTGTCTTATTTTTAAAAAAATAAGACAAGAAATAACTAAAAAAACTTAGTATAGCGTAAATTAAAAGTGTTTCTTATCCTAAAAAAAAATATTTTTTAGGATAAGAAACACTTTTAATTTACGCTATACTTAGTTAGTTAGTTATACTTGTTAAACTACTTTTTATTATGATACGTTATACGTGGTATTATTATGTTATATTTTTTACGTTGCATTATATTATGTCATGTAGTTATAACGTAACAATGTGAAAATTTACTGAAGATGTAAGAAAAAAAAAAAAAATGATTAAAAAAGAAAGGTTATTCATACTCATTCATTCATATGCCATTTGTCAAAAGGCTAAAAAACAAGGTGAACTTGATTTAAATAGAGTATATAACAATCTTCCGCCGAACCATATCAATTTTTGTGATGTCAAGCAGCTAGTTCAGCAGGAAGATGTAACTTTATGATGAACAAGTTTTTTTAGTAAAATTACAACAACTAATATCTGGACAACAGTTTTTAATTTAAAGAGTAATTTTAGTTCTGATTCAATGAGATATTTAAATTAATTGATAATGTCAATGATGTTAATTTAAAGGAAAATTACTATTTTTCATCTAGCTCTGATGATCAAAATGAAAATTTTAATGGTGAAATAAACAACATACTTTTATGACTAGTCTCTGCAATATAAAATAACCCATGTGGCAATTGCATTACTTCTATAGATTCTTAAACCATACTTCCCAATTTTGCCAACATGCAAGGACATTGTTAAAGACACCTGCAATGTTCTTAAAAAACTAAAAAGTGGAGGAGATTATTGTCACATTGGGCTAGAGAATGGTTTGAAAAAATGCATTAATGATTTGTTTATACCAGAGAATAAAAACATCAACTTGCAATTTAATATAGATGGGTTGCCTCTTTTGAAAAGCTCTTGTGTTTCAGTATGGCCAATACTTTGTATTGTAAAGAACTTCCGCATGAAATAACCATTTGTCGTAGAAATATATAGCGGAAAAGAAAAACCACTAAGTGCAGCAGAGTTTCTTGAAAAGTTTCTAGAAGAAACTAAACATTTAGTAGAGGATGGTTTTCTGTTTGATAAAAAAAGATATTCTGTTAAAATTTTTTTTTCATTTATTTATCTGTGATGCACCTGCTAGAGCATTTGTCAAAGATAAAAAAGGTCACTCTGGTTATGAAAAATGTACAACTAATGGCGAATATGATGGCAAATTAATTTATCCTGAAACCAATACACCACTACGCACAAATTAAATTTTTTTTTATATGATTGGCAAAAAATATCAGCTCAGGGAGTGTCCTCAAAAACCGTTGAATGTTGGTTTTGTAAGTCAGTTTGGTCTAGACTTTATGCATGAGGTTTGTTTAGGAGTCATGAAGCAATTGATTCTTTATTGGAAGGTCCAAAAGACTCTTTGCATGTTTAAATTGGTAAACGTGCAATGGATCAGTTGTCTAATAGTCTAAATTCCTTATCACAAAATATCATATATGTATGATAAAAACAAGTATACTCGTTTTTATCATATCTTTATACGCATTTGTTTCCTGTATGTTGTCAAATTTTAAAAGCGTCGGGTTTTGGTGACGCCAAATAATGGTTTTGCCCATCTATTAATCCCATATTGACTCGCGTTATTAAGAGACCCCGTTATTTTGTTAAAATATTTGCCCGTATACCAACCCCATAATGACTTGTGCTACATAAAATCTTTCTAATTTAGTACCGTAACCGTACGCTTTTGGTTTAAAGATACGCGATAAAAATGACAGAATGCAATTTTAAACCTATTTTCAAATATTTTGATTTGTGAATGTTTATTTGCCTTTGTTTATTTTTTTTTAGTTTTAATTTTTGTTTTCTTTTTGTTTAAATTTTTATTTAGTCATTTCTATTTACTATCTTTTAGAGCGTAATTCAACACTTAAGTTTGTAAATCATTTTGTTGTCAATTCCACTCTAAATTTTTCCTACAGGTGGTCTAAAAAAGTTGCCAGTAAAAGTGATCTTTATTTTTTGATCTTGCTTTACTTTAACTGATGGCACTTTTATAATAAAATTTAATTTGTTTCGTAAATCGCAAAACTTCCTAAAATTACAAAATACTTACATTTTAAGAGTTACCCAACAGTTCAAGAACCATCTTATACACCGTTATTTTTCTTAATAATTTAGAAATAAAATTGGCTTAATTTTTGAAATAAAAATTAAAACAAGAAAATAGAAATGCGTAAGCAAAAAAAGTCTTAAAAAAGTTTAAAGAACGACAAAAAAATTTTTTTTTTTTAAAGATATGTTATCATACCAATGTCTGTTGCAGTAACTTTATGCCTTACTAAGAGGATTTACCAATTTTTTTTGTTTTGTTTGCGTTCTCAAGATTTTTTTTTTGTGACGTATTTCCGTTTTGTTATTTTTTAAGCCTTATCCCCGTTCTCCATTCAGAACTTTTTGCGCTTTGGAGAAGCGGAAAAGTTCTTTAAGCATGCGCAAACAGTTTTTTTAAGCCAGTTCTCCAATCAAAACTTTTTGCGCATGCTCAAAGAACTTTTCCGCTCCAAAGCGCAAAAAGTTCTGAATGGAGAACGGGCTTAAGTTGTTTAATAAATTGCGCCAACTTTGTCTCTAATATATTAAGAAATAAAAGATTAACGTATAAGATGAGTCCTAAACCGCTGAACAATTTTTAAACTATATTTTGAAATGTAAGGTGTTCTTGTAATTAACGAAACAAACAAAAAAAAATGCTCTTGTTAGAGTGAAGCTAAGTGAATTTTTTTTTTTTCTAATTTTATTTAGGTGCCCCAAGAAGTCCTAACGGTCTTATCACAGAACACCGCGGTTGAGCATTTAGTTGGAGGTTCACGCCTCCTTCCTAACCGATGTCGCAAGACTTGCCCATAGGTAGGGTTTGAACCACGAGTCCTTTGTTTCTGAGGCAAGTGCGCTGGTAATTGGAATAAAAAATTATTCTTGTTAACAAGATTTTGGACTAAAAACTGTCAGGAAAAAAAAATAGAGCAAGATTGACGATGTAGAAACATAAAACTATTCAGATCAAGCTGTAAACGAAAATAATATATTGTAAATGAGTTATAAAGAGTCTAAACATTATAAAAAAAAGAAAATAAAACCAAAAAAAGAAAGCAAAGTAAAACGAACAAAAGAATGAAATAATAATCAGTTAAATTGAAGTTTGTGAAAATAATTGTAAAACACTTATTAGTGATCGAATATCTTTGCTGACACAAAACAGGAACTTTTATAAAGCTGTCTGTAAAGGTGATTTTCCACTCATCCATTTTTCTACGGGAAAGGGAAAGGGAACGGAAAAATAATCACGTGAGCTTGCGCTGTTTCCTTACGGACAAGTAAAAACTTTTATTACGCATGCTCACGTGATTATTTTTCCGTTCCCTTTCCCTTTTCCGTAGAAAAACGGATGAGTGGAAACTCACCTTAAAATAAGCCGATATGCAAACAAAAAACATTCCCAAGCGCAAATATCAACGAGAAAAGACATAATATGGTTTGTAAAGCGTCCAATAGATATTTTGTGCTTTTTGGAAAAAGTCCCGCTAAATTGCAATATTAAAAAAAATTAGTTTAATTTGGACTCCTCAAAACAATAACTGAAGCAATGAGTGATAGGGTATTCCTCATATCTCTAAAGGTTTATGAGATTATGTAGAATAGATACGTGTCGGTGCGATAAAAAAGTATAATAAATACACTTCATCATTTAAATGGGGAAAAAAAAAATGTAGAATTACAAATAAATATTTATTACACTTAAAAAATAAGTAACTGTCGTTTAAAAATAAAAACCATAAAATAATTTGTAAGTTAAAAGCATTCTAACCGTATTTATACATTATAGTATAATATATATATATATATATATATATATATATATATATATATATATATATATATATATATATATATATATATATATATATATATCATATATTGTGTTACAATAATTTATTTTAAAAATTTGTTAATAAAGTGAATCCATAACAACAAGTTTTTATGTTTTTCGTTCTTTATAAAATTTAATCTATGAATGTTAGGAAAATATAACGCAATAAATTATGGGTTATATAAATAACGAATTAACACTGAGCATTTGTTTTTTAAGTCATAAGCTACACGTCTGTAGCATGAAGCCCATTACAATAAGCGTTGACTGAGTTTTCCAACTTAACGGTTTGCTTACTTAATACAGTCAGTTTTGGTTTGAAGAAAAAACAGTAAAGCAATGTAAACAACAATATAAAAAAAATTGCCTCGATTACTAGTCCAATTAAGAATTTAAACATACTAATGCTGTTTTTGCAAACTTTTACTTCTTCTCTTCTTCCTGTGCTTGGACTTTTTTGCTTGTCTAAACAATTACACGAGATAGGATCTAATACCTGGTTTGGATTTGGACATGTCGAAGATGAACATTTACAGTCACACTCATCTTCGTTGAATTGTTTACCCAAGGGACAGTTTCTAGATTTTGATGGGGAGCAAATACAGTTACAATCAGTTTTGCTCCATACAAAGTTTAGATTGCATACAGGAAAATTTTTATCGTAGTTACAGGTGCATTCGCAATTGTCATTGCTAAATGTTTGATAAGAGTTGCAAGATTTGTCGTTTAAACTACATACTGTCTGGCATTCGGTGTTATTTTCTACTGCTAAAGTAACAAATTCATGCGTTTGCTCTTTTACAACGGTCAAATCAATTTTCTTCACTCCTTTTTGTGTAGGAACGCATTTATAATTATGGGGGTTGGGTATTAAATTATCAACTCCTCGACATCGATTTAACTTTACAACTCGAGGTAAAAAACGAAAATGTCCTTGGTCGTCAGTATCCACATAGTCAACGTATGAACCGCAATCTACGTTTTCGAGCGATGTTGCATTGGAAAATGAATTAAAGGAAACAAGAATAATTAAAAGTCCTTTTAAAATCATTTTGCTTCGGAGACTCTCTGTAAAAAAAATTAAACAGTTAAAAACAACACTTAATAAAAGATATTTAAATTACCTCAATTAATAATTATGACGTTTTTACAATTAGTCTATAACAAGTGTAAAAAAACATTTACTTTAATCTAAGTATGAATGCTCATATCTTGAAATTTATATTTAAAAACTTTCTTTCGGTTTCTAATTTTAATGATTTCGCTTTCACAGTTAAATAATACAAGAAATATGATATCTATAAATTCCGCATAACTTACGTCACGATTCTTCTTATGCAATGTTTTTTTCAAAAGAGCATGAAGGTCCCGCAACTTAAGAAAACAATAAACTTTTTAAAATTTTGAAGTTCAATGTGAAATAATAATATGGTGACCTTGCACGTATTATTAATCTCTAGCTAATTATACTAATTAATATGCTATAATCTGTTGTTGCTTTTATATCGTTTGTTATTTCGCCACTAATTCTTTCAATTTAAATAACTTGAGAACTCAAAATAAAAATCGATTTTTTTTATTGTTAATAATATTTTTATTAACTTTACATTCATTATTTATTATTATTATTTTTTAATAACTAGAACAGAAAAAATGGGATGGCGAAATTACCCCAATAAAATCTAATTTGGGGGAATTTCACTACCTATGTTATTTCTAACATAAATTTTTTATTTTAATTTATAAATCTTAAAAATACATTTACAATGAGTTAAATAAAATAAGTGGCGCATGGCCATTGACACCGAGGCGTATCGGGGAATATCTCCCTCCATCTTTTTTACCTATTTTTTTTTCTTTTTTTTAGAAATGTGGGATATTTCAGGAGATTTGTTAATGTACTAAGCCCAGCTGTCCTTTCTGGATATTGAATTCTTCCTCCTGGTGCCCTTCGAGATATACAGTATAATTATGCAGCTCGCCTAAAGTTCGCCAGCTTTAATTTTTATTAGCCATTAGCTCTTTGCGACGAATTTTCTCTTATATTTTTACGGCATTGTTGCTGATAGTTTTGGTTTTATAATTAATTCTAATTAATTAAAACTGATCGATTTAATTAATTTGAATTAGTTATAAGACCATCATGACCTGAAAAATTAGTTACCAAAACAAGAGGAAGGCAAATAATATTAATTATCCAATCAAAGCGCTTTTGATATTTGATATAAATAGGTGGCAAAATTCCCCCATATAGTATTTCCATTGTAACTTTGGAAAAGATCAAATTTAGAAAGAAAAAAGCAATACAAAGATTCTTTAAAAAACTTCCAATATTTTAGTCTTTTAAATTTTGAATGGAAATAAATAATTTGATTTTTATGAGAATTTTAAATTTTCTGTTTTTTTATAGATTAATTTTGTCAATTTATTTTCTTATCTAGTTTTCATATAAAGATTTTTTTTTTTTTTTTACATAATTTGATAAGAAATTCGTTTTTCTTTTCATAGAAACTTGAATTATAAAAAAATCTTATTACTAAGTAAAGCTATACTTATAAAAGTAGATATACACCAATTGGTAGCGAAATTTCTTAAGTAGCGAAATTACCCCATTTTACTATGTTAAATAAAAAAATAAAAAATAGTAAATATAAAAAAAGTTTAAAGTTTGAAAAAAAGTAAAAATAGAGCTAAAAAAAGGATGTCATTATGATGTCATTATGATGCTGTTATTTTTGAATGTACAAATTTTACAAAATTGTATTTAGTTTTGATTACAAAATCACAGCAAACTACAGCTTACATTTTGACGTATTGATTTAAATTTATAATTTATTAACGCATGAAGTAAAAGACAAAAAAGTAAATGAAATTTTTTTATTGATAGCAATTTTTAATTTTTGTTTGTTTTGTATGATTTCCTTCTTTGACTTGCTGGGTTCTACGCTTTCCCGCAGTACCCAGCAAGTAAAAGTAATTTTATTTTTGTTTATTTAAGTGCAAAGTCTGAGTCTGTTTTTTTAATGCAGAGTCTAAGTGCATGTCTTTTTTTTTTTGTCATTTTAAAATACTTTTTAAAGACAGTAAAATTCACAATACAAAATCCTTAAATCAAAAGACGTTGAAACTGCGTATTAATTATTCTACGCAATATTTATTTTATTACGCAGAACGAAAGAAATATAATCATATAAGTTTTGTAACAACATTAGCAACTAACATAAAACAGAAAGTTTATCTTCTGTTATCGGCGTATTTTTATTTATATTGGTTATAACAAGTATTGATATCTATATATAATATCCAATTATTATTTACCACCGATTTGGATTTAAATCATACGTCTTTTTGATTGCTGGTTGTATAGCAGGAAAAAATTCCCCGGAAAATAATCCCCTGAAATTAACCTCAGAGATAAAATTTGCACAAGAAAAAATTCCTTGGGGAAAAAATCCCCTGGAAAAAAACCCAACGTATAAGTACATACATAAATACATGCATTGGCTTAAATCAGTAGTACTTGGAGGGAATGTACATTCATTGAATGGCTTAATAGGTAGAACACGCAGTGAATGCACATACATTGACTACATAGGATCGGGCAGGCAATATATTAATTTAAGTAAAAATCACTTTTAAGCCTGTGAATGGTCAGACATCTGGGAATTACAATTTAATAGTGAAAACTGTCGTATTATGTCGTATTATGTCGTATTATGCACTTTGGAAAAAATAAACTTCGCTATATTTATAAATTAGGCGACAAAATATTAGTATTCTTTGATACCGAAAAAGATCTTGGAATTACAATGTCATCAAATCTCAAATGGAAAAGTCACATAATCAATTGTACATAAAAAGCTTATTCAACGCTTGGAATATTGAAAAAAAAATTTCATTACATCAATAAAAAAATGTTTATGATAACACTTATAAGACCCCATTTTGAATTTACGATACAGACATGGTACCCATACATTAAAAGTGATATTACTGCATTTGAAAAAGTTCAACGTTACGCTCTAAATGGATACCTCAGATTCGAAAACAAAGTTATGAAACAAGAATTTAAATACTTGGCTTAAACACACTGGAAAAAAGACGTAAAAGAGGCGACTTAATTCAAATGTTCAAACTACTTAAAAAAAAAAAAAATATTGTAGAACTAGATTGTAATATTTTTTATCAGCTTTTTTATTAATTTATCAGCTAGAAACACTTTTTTTTTTTAATTAAAAAAATTATTTAAATTTAAATTATACATTTTAAACTCAAGTTATAAGTTTAACAAATGTACAAAAATATTTTAAATTTTTTATTAAAGTTGTAAAATAATATTTTTATAAATTTATATTAATACATTTATAAAATTATCTTATGAAAAAAGTTAAAGAAATTTTCGCTTACATAAATTTTTTTACCGGACGGAAAAATCAAACGCCAACGCTTAGTATATCTTTCTATGAAACATTTAATATGAGTAACTTGTACAAAGTATGCTTTCTAAAATAATTGGGATATTCTTTATCCAAGTTACATAATACTATTAATTTAATTTATTAATTTAAACAATATTTAAACTTACATAAGATACTAAATTTAATCTTTAAAAAAAATGTTTTGGTGAGAGAACTTGTAAACTGATACTTGACTATATAACAAAAAAAAAAAACAATAAAAGTTGAATGAATTAACTTTTATTATTCAGTTGCACAGAAAGAGTCAAAAAAAAAAAAAAGAAAAAAAAATGTCCTCTAAAATTTTTAGAGGCCCCTAAATTTGTGGGGCCCGGGTTATAGCCCCCTAGCCCCTCCCCCCTTTTATTCGGTACTGAATGTATGAGTATGAAACACAGGAAGATATATCGCCTTTGTTTTACGTTGACTTTTTGTAACATTTTTACCATTTAGAAATATATGATAATATTTATATATATTTTTAAATGATAGAAATGTAGCTAATAAATTTTATTTACTAACAAACTTACTTTATTCCAACCATTATTTAATAGAAATTTTTTCTCAAAACATCTAGAGATATATTAGGATGTTTAATATGTATGAAATAAACAGTGAAAAATGCACATGCGCACCAAAAAACACACCATAAAATACAAGTAAAGTGTATCATTGAGTGTGTATTCTCAATATCAAGTTGCTACGAGACAATACATTATTCAACAAAATTTTATGTTTTTTGCTAAAATTGTCAATTTTATTTTTATTAGGAAACATTATTTGTGACAATTTAAGACTAATCCAGGCAATTTGAATAAATTTGCATAAATTTACATAACTTATGAAATGGCTTCAAAGTAATATTCAAAGTTATTTTGTTTTTTCATTACATTTCGATCAGCTTATTTTGCTTATAAACTAAACATATTTTTTATATTTCAAATTATCTATCTAAAGTTAGAGCTTCCTCTAATTTTCTACTTTAAGATATTCCGTTATCAAAATCGTGTACAGACGTTAAGGCATGTTATACCAGAAATATATCTGGCAGTTTCAAAACAGTAATCATAAAATTTTAAAATATCTAATTCTGAACAATCAGAGGTACAACAAAGTATATCATACAATTTTTTAATCAACGCTTGATTAAAATCTGTAATTTTGCTAAATATGTCTTCATTTATAAAAGCAGTCATGGCCTTATTACCATCAATAGTGGTCACACTACGGTTAATCTACAATTAATCCAACTCATACAAAAATAGTTTTTGAATTATACTCATTTGTTGATTTGTTGAATTTAAAAGTTTTGCTTGCCAAGATCTAAATTTACCAACTTTGTATGCAATATGCATTTAACATTCTTAATGCAATACAAATCAAACATTTAAAACACCTTATCTAAGCCTGAAAGATTTAAAAACCACACTGAAAACCTTAAGTGGTATACTTTTTTTAAATGACAACTTTAATTCTTTCTGATGTTTTACATCTACATTGCCTAGAGCCAGTTGTGTTTGATGAGGCAGTATTCACCTTTCCATCAATCATGGTGATAAATAAACTTAGCTAAATATATATTATGAATCTACACTGTTAAAAAAATGTGTGTTTTATACGGATGTTATCCAGCAACTGAGTTACCAGAAATATTCTGTTGTTTTACGGAAAAACCCATTATGTGTTTTTATTGAAATATCCGTTTAAATACGGAAATATCTGTACTTTTAATAATGAGGAATTTTCTTTATTTTATCATATTATTGGAATATTCCGTAAAATTACGGAAACATTCTGAAAACTCTGCTGCCGGATCAGTATATAACGCAAAAAGTTTCAGTACATGACGCAAAATTGACTTTTACAAAACTATTATGTACATT